TACTCTTAGAAAAGCAACCAACTTTTACTAAGGTTTTACAACACACAATTTAATTTTCTGTGTGTTAAACTATTTTTAAAAACTGAAATAGAGTTCAGTTTTCTAGTTCCCACATTAACTAACATCAGGGTCACAAAATACTTGCATTAGGAAAGAGAAAAAATGGGTTCACTCATGTTTCCTTAAACTGGTTTGTTGAAGGTTATGGTGGGTATTTTCAATTTCAAGGCTTTTTACTCAAATAAAGCACAAATTGAGAATCAGAAACTCTCAGGGCTGTGTCATCAGTAAGCCAAGCACACACCCACAATTATTAAAGGACTTACAAATCAACACGAATCACTGTTAGGCACTTCAGTACAGACTATGGGGATTTTCTACCAAAAAACTACCTAGCAGGCAAGGCCATAAAGATTGAAGCTTTAGCTTTTAGAACATACAGGGCTAGACAACTGATAAGAAATACTGCATAATTAACCCATCTGTATCCTGGTACAATTTCTTTACAATCCCACACACAATTTTAGGGTTTAATAGAAGCGGTTACTTTTTAGCATCCAAAGTTTTAAAATGGTCTTTCTTTACTTCACTATGAGGATCTTAAAATTATCACACATCCTTTGAGGGAGCATGATACTGAAGTTTTATTTTTGTATAAGCAGAACTTGAAAAAAGTGTTTTCTATATTATGTCTGTATCTATACAGAGTCAGCACACAACAGTTGATAATTTTTATATCTTTTAAAGCCCATTTCAACAGGTTTATTTTGTAAAGATAAATTTCTCATTACTAATTCCTTTAGGCAACTGTTTATCTTTTTTAAGTAAACACGAGGAAAAAAATGGAATATGGCCCGTGGTTTTATGGATGTAAAGATGTCTTCAGGTTAAACACTATCCATAAATTTGGCTTGACATATTTTCCCAACTGAAACTATTTGTACTGGTACTCTCCAAAATGTAACCTATTTTTGGTAATGGGAAGACAATACTCATATCATGTAGTCCTTTCCATATCTAACTTTTTAGGTCAAGGAGCTGGCAGAGTCTAGATAGTTCTTTTATCTTTCTGAATCTACTTTTCAGCATGTGAAGCTAAAATTAAGAAGCATTAAAATGTTAAATACGGTATAATTTTAAAAACTCTACTATGGCATTTGTATGCTGAATACACAGCAAGCCAGTATTGCTCTGACAATACTGACAAGTCTGACAATACTCTCTAACGAGCAAAGACCAATCTCTGAATCAAGCCAGTTGTGAGAGGATAGCAAAGAACTAGAGAACCTACTTAGACACTAGTGGTTTGGGGAACAATGGATACAGGAAAGTTTAGAATACCTCCAGGACAGATAACATATCTTCATTGTTGGTGAATCAAGATACAGGAGAGCAAGGGATGGCTGAGTTGTGGGAAAGCTGATCCTGAAGCAAGAAGTTCCAGATTATATTTAGACAGTGGGAGGGATCAAAGTTAAGTCATGCAAAGAAACCTGTCTCTACCCAGCTGTGAAAGATGGATCGATGCCAAAATACAACTGGGCAACTGAGAGACAATGACCCCAAAGCCCACAGATAATCTGGGATGTGCTGCTGTCCCCTATATACAAAGCAGAACGCACTACAGATATATTCCCCAAAATGCCTGCAGAGAAAACTAGAAAATTGTCTACAGTTTTTCTATTTACACTAATATAAACAGATTTCGAGGTTGTCTGTACTGTATGTGGTTGCTGTAGTCACAGCAACAAATGTAAAGTGCCTGTAACAGAGGGTATAATAGAATCCCACCTCTAGGCATCTTAATACTATACACTCAGACAAAAAGTGAAAAGAATATCTCAGGGACTTCCTGACTCTCCTCTGTGATATCACTGTAACCACCTACGAGGCACTTTTTAAAGACCAGAAACTCTTCTATTGCGTGCTACACTTCTAAAAATCACTTTACCTGCATTAAAAATGCCAGTCAACAGTGCTAAAGCTGGCATTTTTTATTCTTAAGGCAAAATGTCATATTCCCTACCAACTTCCCCCTGGTCCCCAAATTACCTGCCTTCGTTGTATTCTTTGCCCATGGTGAGAGCCAAAGAAGATAGAACTGAAAATTTCAAACAACTCAATATGCTGTGTAAGATATATTTTATAAATGCTAGTATGGCAAAATTTAACTTATTTAAATGCTTATACCATATGGCTACTGTACCAAGATATCAAGAGAAGTCATATGACTTTCAAAATTAGTAGCAAACATGGGATATTTAAATCCAGCCACATGTACTGAGGTATGAAGCTTTGTTCTTTTCAAAGTTGAGCACAAAATAAAATGTTTGTTTATAGCCAAGAGTAGCGTATTAAAACCAAAAGCATTGCCCTTTGCTTAAGTCCACTTAAACTACATATAAACTGCCAATATGCTCTCCATCTTAGAATTAACACTGTTAAAATGATTTTGATGCATTTTCATACATGAATTTTAATTTTGGTTTTATGCACAAGTATATAGGTAACACATTTCCAATGCTTAGCCTAGAATAGTATAACATAACAAAAAATCATGTTTTGCAAATGTGGTATAAGATTTCTTGCATTCTCATGATGCCATGTCAATAATCTATTACACTAAACCATCTGCAACAATGTAGTGTACGCTTTAAACACCCCATTAGAATAAATTTTAGCCAATACCTTGATGACAAGGGAATGTGCTGGTATACTGTTGAACTGATGTGGCTGCAATCCAAGAGAGTGAACGTGGTTTTTCACATTAAAAAATAAAAAGGATAGCCCTAGCTCAGTGGATGGAGTGTCAGCCAGCGGACTGAAGGGTCCCGGGTTCGGTTCCGATCAAGGGCAGGTACTTGGTTGTAGGTTCCTCCGCAGCCCAGGCCCTGGTCAGGGCCCAGGCAGGAGGCAACCAATCAATGTGTTTCTCTTACACTGATGGTTCTCTCTGTCTTTCCCTCTCCTACTCTCCCTAAAAATCAATGGAAAAATATCCTTGGGGGAGAATTAACAAAAAACAAACAAAAAAATAAATAAAAAGGATAAAAGGTGTGGATTTGTTGGGCTACTGTATAGAATATTTTTCTCTGATGAAACTGCAATACCTACAATATATATTTGGGTTTTAAAGGAGTTTTTAATATATAACAAGTAATTCCTTATAGTTATTTGAAAAAAGTATGAGAACATATGAACAAATAAAGCTTAGTAATTTAGAATTTACTTTTGTAAAAGTTGACAAATAATAAAATATTATACTTGCATTTTGAACATTATAAATATAAAACACAAAACATCCAACATTAAACACTGATCATCTCCTATGCCCGAGTTGAACTTAGATAGTGAGCATTTTAATTTTGTAGAAAGGAACTTTTAAAGTTTTGTCAATGCTTACAGTATATACGTTTATCCCTCATCAAAATCTTCACAAAATCTAAAAGGCTGGTATTAAAAGGAATTATTTTTTTCTTGAATATTCTAAAACATGCCAGCTTGGATTACTGTTCAGATTTTCAGGGACTGCGTATTCAAGAATATATCTGAACACATTTAGTTAGGTAAGTGTTTACAGTTACAACAGAAATACCTGTGACTTTTCAGATATTGAAAAAAAAAACACAAAAACCTACACGAACATAGAAGGTGTTTTGGGGCAAGTTATTTCTTAGAAAAAATAATGCATTATGTTGATCAATTTTTAAAACAAATTCTTAAAAGCACTAAAAAAATTTGTATTTTATACTTGCCAAACAATACATTCACGTGTTATAAGAAGATAAAAGAAAACACAGATAAAAAATCTCAAACTATTTCAAAAGTTAAGAATTAAAAATATTCAAATTAATAAATTATCTTTGTTGCTTGGAAAATATGCTTTACTTTTCATTTCAAATTCACTTTAAATGCTTGACAAATAATTTATTACTTAAGAAGAATCTAGCTAAATTATTTGATAATATTTATAAGGTGACACTTATCTGGATAGACATTTCACACAACAGTTTTCCATTAATGCTGAAAATCAGTTGGTAATTTTAATCAGAGTTAATAATTGATTAATGGATTAACAATTTACTCAGTAATTTAGATGGCATACGGTCTCATAAAGGGAACAATCAGATAACTGCTCAATGTGCAATTGTACCCATTAGTAATTCTAAGAACTTGATAGATATTCCACTCATTGGATTACATGTTTGTATGTATGTGATTTGAACAACAACAAAACATAGGTATCCAATGTCAAACTTTTTTTCTTTTTTTAAAGAGCAGCTCAATGATTTTGGGGGTTGATTAGTACAATGCAGAGAGCATAGGGGAAAAGTACAAATTGGCACTTAAACCAATGCCAGTATTCATTTCATTATTGTTATAATTAAGAATATTATTAATTTTTGTTATTCACTTTTCTTTAGAACATAAATCAAAGCCATTAACTTGAGGTTGAGGTATATACACAATACATACACAAATGCAAAATACTATTCGTAAGTAACATTACATTTTAAAATACCAGAAACTGAATATCTGTGCTGATTTATATTTTGACTTAATGGAACAAAAAGAGAACATTCAACAAAAGAGGATTATACTGATAATAAAGCTCTTAAAGTTTTAAAAAATGTCTTCCTCTCCTTTTGTACTTACCACAGGCTACACAATGTCTTGAGAGGATTCATTAGGAGAAAAATGTCAATCACAGCTTTAAGACCTGGCTTTGGAAGAAACTAATGAGAAAGCAATTGGAAGGTGAGGCTTCATCTTCATTTTCAAATAAGTGGTCTTAATTTTTCTTCTTATAGAAAAAGTTTAAATCAGTTTACTATAAATATATCCGAACCATTAATTTTTGGAGCTTTCAGGTAAAGTCCAGCACTTCGTTTATATAAAGTCTATGAGAAGAAGTCAGTAGAGATCATCTAAGTTTAAGTCGTGACATCATCCATTCCAGTCCTTGGCATAATCTATACAGAAAATAAAATAATCTGATCAAATTCTCAACTAAGAAGCTATAAATAGCAAACTAAAACAAGGTGTCATTTTTTCATTTACCTAAACAACCAAGGTTAAAAAACCAATACTGTTCCATGTCGGTGCTGTTGTGGTGAAGCCATACTCTCAAGACACAGTACATCCGTGCTTTCTCATTTGTTTTGTTTCTAGTGCCTAGAACACTGCCTGACATATAAAAGCTCAGTGATTATATAAATGCCCATGGAAAGTATTTAGCTATACATATTCAAGAGTATTTAAAATATCAATACCCTCTCTATCCTCTTTTCTATTTCAAGAAATACATCCTAAAAAAATAAGACATAAAGACAGATTTATGTATAAAGACTATCAAAACATTTTTAATAGGAAAAAGAATTTAAAGGTCTAGACATAGAGAAAAATTTAACAAATTATGGACCATTCATATGATGAAATATTAAAAACTCCTTTCAAAAACTACTTTACAATATGATAAAATGCTCATTATTTAAATGAAGTAAAATTGCAGGATATTAAATATATAGTAGAGCTGTTAAAACAGAGTACATACATAATATGTCTGCTACATCTATATATTTACATTTTTTGAAGGAAGTAAAATCTCTAATCACTAATACCAGTTATCACTGAATAAAGGGTAACTGAGCATAATCCAAAATACTATAAAGAGATGTTCATTGTGGTAAAGAAATGTTTAGCAAGAGAAAAATGATTGTACATATGTTACAACAAAATAAACTGTTATGAAGCATTAACAATTGTCTATCAGGAGCTTTTACAGACATGAGAAACTGAAAACTCATATTTTTGTGTAAGTATGAGTCTAACAATATAAAAGAAGATAGAAATAGAAAAAAAAAAAGGCAATGAGGTAAATAAATGATTGCTTCAGTGTTGGCCCAGACTGTGCTAAGCACTTAATATCCATTATCTTAATATTTCTTTACAACAGTGAGATCAGAACCCTTCCCATATTAGAGGAAACCTGGGCTTGGAGAGGTTAGCAAATGGCAGAGATAAGAGTCAAGTCTGACCAACACTAAAACCAAAAATTCAGACCAAGGCAGCCAGACCACAATAGGGGAACATCTCCTCCAAAACCAAACACTTCCACTTGCTGACTGCTGCAAATGGAGGCCCTCATACACCAAGAATTGAAAAGATACCACCAGCTACCTAGTTCCTCTTTCAGAAATGAATCTGCCAGAGTTCATATCCATCCTAACTAATGATATATTTCCTACACAATTTCTCAAAGTATATAAGCTAAGTATTATATAATTCCTAGACGATTTGTCTTTGTGGTCAAATTTAGTATTACATTAGTGCTTTTGCTTAAAGTCCTTCCATAGAAAAAGATATAGCTACAGGTATCTCGACATGTATTAAACTATTTGACAGAAACATGTAACATTTTTACTTAAATGAATATGTGGAGAGTTGGTATTATCTATGAATTTTTCTTTAAATGAACAGATTTGCTTTTTTGAGGTTCTAATTAAGCTCTCTAAATGTCTGTAATTAGATAACAGTGCCTTCTATTTCACTAAGATTCAACTTCATCTTCAATTTAATTATTTTTCTTTGTTTTTAAAAGGTACATACATAACAGATTCTAAAGAGAGGTCTTAATTTGGGGTTGAGGTTCTTCTTCTGGTATTAGGAAAGGGCAGAAGCTTGGGACATAAATAGATGAATTAGCTGAAGTGGGAGAAATTCCCTTCCTTTCAAAACCATGATGATAGTTAAAGCCATATAATGACCTTTCCTAACAGCTGAAGAATCACAACTTGAAGAACCCAAATTGAAGACTCTAGAATCCTTCATCTCCAATTTAATTCTTTTTTTTCTCTGCTTTTAAATATATATAGATCTACCACATTTTAGAAAAACAACTACAACAAAAGTATTATTTCATTTGCTCAGCCTTTTAGCCTTTTATCCTATTTCTAACCTCCTCTATTCCATCTCTCCTAACAGGACTCTCCATCTTTCTGGTCATTGACGTTATATTTAACAATGCTGACAACCACTTCATTTTTGAAATCCTCTCACTTCTGGGCACTAGACTGCCGGAGACTATTTATTGTCTTCACTAACTGAATATAGACAGAGACCCCCCAAAAGCTAGTAACCTTTGAAAGTCCTAGCAAAGGTCAGGGCTGTGCACCACCCAGTTAATTTAGACACCACCCAGTTAATCTAGATAATGGTAGCTAAAGCATTATCCCCACCTTAGCTCACTGAATTCCTTAGATATTTGTGTAGATCCTTGTTGATTATTGTTGATCAGATACCCTGCCTATTCTTAGAAATTGTCTACTACCGATGAGCTAATCAGATACTGTCTATTCCTAGAAACTGTCTGCTGATCTGTGTGTCATTGAAATCTCCTTACCTAAGGCTACTCCAAGCTCAATAAAAGATTGGAGCGGCCTGAGCATAGGTGGAAGTCCTTCGGGACTTGCCCGCCTGGTCCCCCAATATTTCAAAATTATCTCGTGTCATTTCTCTCTCATTTGTGTGCGGCCCCTCTTTCAGATACCGAACCCTACTCCACGCAGAACGTGGAGGGAGTCTTACACGACACTAGACTAGGGCAAAATTCTACTATAGGCACCCACCCTCCCTTCCAGAACCAGGAACCCTCGTGCCACACTCTCTCTAATTCTAACACTTTTTTTTTTTTAAATTGCAACAACTCCCTCTTGACAACAGTGGTGGCAAAAGTGAATACATCCAAACTAGTCTAATTCAACTTCTTTATGCATAAAGTGTGAATTTAAAACAACTGGTCTACATGACTGTTAGGAATAAATGATACACTGGAAGGAACACTCAAGACATAGAACAGGCTTAGCAAGTGTTAGTTCCTTTCTTATAGCGAAAGTCCCACCACCAATAAGAACTGTTTCCCAACTTGTCCAGCTCCCCTTGACATTCTAATGTCTCTGAACTCCTACAGCAACTGTAACTATGTGCATATATTAGTTCAGTATGTGTATGTGTATGTTGTGCTTTATTCTTTACAGAACCAAGTTAAAAACTCACTATAGACATGGACTATGTCTTACATCTCTTCCTTAGAACAATCTGTACATGGTAACCTTAAAATTGGATTTTAGGAAGAAATTCATATTCCTAAACTAAAGACACGTTATCCATGGGGAAGACTTCTTACCCCTCGCCAGTAAGAGCACAGCATGCCTGGATATGCCACTGGTGATCTTTAATAGAAGTTAGTTTCAAAAACTGGGAGATTTCTGCTACAGTCATGCATTCTTTAACATCTTGTTTATTAGCAAAAATCAGCAATCCAGCTTTCCTTAGATCCTATAAAAGCAAATAAAACGATAAGGGCCAATGCATTTTTTTCAGAGATTTTCTAACTTAATGAATAGAATATTTTTTTGGTAATCTCTGTAACCTAGAATTTCTCAACTACTTGATATAAAAGCATTTCATAGCCTTATACTGATGGAAGGTAAACTTAAAACTGAACACATTTTAAATAAATCTATCTATACTTGTATGGATTCATATATTTCTTATAGTCCTAGATTACATTTATGGTCCTAAGTGCTATATTTACCAAGCAGCCATGTCTTCAAATATATAATTACCCATTTCCCCTAATCTCAAACTAGGCTTCTATGGCTACTAAAAACTACGTTTTAGCATGGTACTCATGAGCTTTTAAAAATTCTACCTCAACCTAGTACCTTCTAGGTACATAGGAAATAAACTAATTCATTATGTACAACGTATGCCTTGGACTGTAGGGTTGGGGAACGTCTGGCCCACCAGTCCTATAAGGCCCACAAAATCATTTGGTCTGGCCGTGCCAAGGCACTAGGGAGGGGTGAGTTATTTAAATGCTTGACCAAATATAGCAGGCTTTTTTAAAAAAAGATCTTTTTATTGATTTTTAGAGGGAGAGAGAGAGAGAAACTGATATGAGAGCAATTGGCCACCTGTGGGGTTCAAGCCTGCAACCCAGGCATGTGCCCTGACTGGGAATGGAACTGGCAACCTTTCTGTGCATGGGATGACACCCAACCACCCGAGCCACACTGGAGCAGGCTAATTTTTAAGTTGATAATTTTGTACGCCCTGCAAATGATGTTATAAATATCCAATTGGCCTTGGAAGAAAAAAGGTTCCCACCCCTGCCTTAGAGACTTAGGGCTTCACTCCCAGTTGAATGGTGCTGTCCTAAACCACCCCTATCCTTTTCTGAGACCTAGCTCCTCTATCTTTGTCCATGATGATTTCTTAGATTTGAATATTTGAGATGGCCATCTTGGATTGGCATTAAACTTATAAAGTAAGTTCTACCACTTCAATTTTTTTATTCTGAGGAAAGTTTTTTAACCTTTCTGAATTTGTTCCTCATTACCAACATTTATTGAGTATCTAACTTGAGCAAGCCACCCATCGTACTAATCTTTTTCTAAATAAAAACTCTTTAATCCTCACAAGATTGCTATAAAGTAGGCTTTACTAGTCCATTTTACAGATGAGGACAGATGTAAGTAACTCAGACAAGGTCATATAGCTACTCAATGACGGACCCAGGTTTAGCCTAGATCTTCCTATCGTAGTTACTGCCCCTCATCTGTAAAATGCTGAGACTACTACCTAACTCTTAGGGATGTGGTTTTAATACACGAATAAAGTAGTACATTTAAACTACTCAGTTCAGTACCTGGCTTTTGGTGACAGTTCAACAAATGTTAGTTCATTTATTGCCCCCAAAATAATAATTACCTTACCCGTGTGCATGCCCCAAAATGATTGGTATGCTTTACTCACAACACAGACCAGGGTTCTTAGACTTTGACTTACTCTACTCTTCCTTTGACTTACTCCACTCTTCCCTCTTGCAACCATTTTTACAGTCTGGGATTTCCCTGATAATCTATTGACGATTGTAATAGACCTCTTCTTCATAAAAATGCACATTTGTATATATGCAAAAAAAGTATATGTAAAATTTTAAAGTGTTAATAGATACTCTAAAATCCATTCATAGATCATGGACTAAGAACCAATGATGGATTAAACTCTCATAACATTCTTCCTCTATATATGAAGAGATACTGTGGTTTGGTTGCTATGCTTGCAAGTTTTCTCAACTGTGTTGAATGCCATCTTTCTTCTTAGGGATTTTAGTGGGATATTTTGTTTTCAATCATGTGTATATGTGCTTGAAGCAGGAAAGTCTTCAATGGGCACAAACTGACATTGCTGCACATTATTTTACTCTTGTTAAAATAGTTTCATTGGCTTCTTTGATTCTTTCTGATGTAAATAAAAAATGTAAGGAGTAACAGGACTTAGGCAAAAGGTTTTATATAACAACGGAGACTGACTTTAGTTACAGTGCCCTCTGCAGGATGGCAGCTATCGTAACACAGTTAATGAGTTACCTGAAGAGCATGGTCAGAAAAGGATACTAGAATATTAACTTTTAAGATTTCTCATTCAATTTGTTTCATCTCTCATTCAATTTGTTTCATCTATAGTTCAGTTTACCTGTTTATATAATAAAAGGCAAAAATCTGAATGGATGGATTATATATATATATATATTCATTATCAAGGATACAGATATTTTTTTTCTCTTATCTTAAATGGAAATGGAACAGCATCAATAGTTGATATGTGGCTGAATCACTGAGTAGATGGACTTTCCATGGATTTAATTCCTATCTTCCTATCTTCCAGGTTTCAATATCTCTTGCTAGTGTCTGTTGAAATCTTTTATATAGGTCAGGATGGGTAATGCTGGCACATTCTAAGAACAAAATTTTGACAACAGAAATAATTGGCACAATTTAGGAAACATAAATTTATACTACCTTATTTATAAGTAATCTATATTTCTCACTTCTAGTGATTAAATTATTTGGAGAAGCCCCTGGACTACAATTTGAAAGGATAATAAAGCCTTTTTATTGAAAGGTCTCAAAAACACACTGAAAAACCCCATATTGAATATAATTTTTCTAGATCTTATAGGCTCAAATTTTTTTACTTGGGGTTCTTAATTAAAAAAACAACAGCACCTATATTACCTATTTTTAAATACTTAGGAAGAGAGCAAAGAAAACAGTCCTTTACTTTTTATTATTCAGCACCAATTATGCCTTATGACAACAGTAAAAAGTTATATAGGATTAAGGCTGTTCATCAACTTGACTTAACAAGAGGTCAAAGTACAAGGTGAACAGCTGTGAACTTTTATTCATCAGCCATTTTAAGCACTTTAAAAAACTTTCTGCTACATACTACAGATTTCTGGTCTTAAAAGTCTAAAAACTCATTTCAGTTTAGTCAAGAAGATGAGTAATAGCACATGCAAGATATATTTACTTAGCATCTTCTATATGCCATATGTAGTTGTCAATTTTTTCCTCAAAGCTTCATTTGTGAAGATAATTCCTAGAAATTGAGTCATTCTGAATAAAATTTCATCTGTCCTTTTGTATTTGGAACTATTTTAAAATTCATGAGCTTCTAAGTTTTGCACTTCATTTAAGATGAAGCTTTCAGTAATACTGAAAAACATTTTATAGCTCTGTATTTAGTAATGCATGTAAAGAATTATTATCAGTGATGGTGATAAAATTCTGTTGGTGATTGTGGTATGAAACATCTGATTAACCCCTTTGAAAATTTGTTTTTCATTAATACATCTTATTCTTTGATCCATTTGTTCCCCTCCAGAACTCTATTTGGCTCTTCTGGACCCTTTTAAGTGACTTTAGTTCTCAACTTCATCTGCAATTCCTTTCTTCTCTGGTAATCTCCCCATTCAGTTTCCTTTCATTTTCCAACTATGCCCTATTTTTGTCCCCTACTCCCCTCACTCCCCACCCTCAGCAAGAGCAAGAATGATGAAAATGCCTAAATTCAAAGCCTGGCTCTTAAAAAGCTGGTTAGGTCACATATTGACCTGCCCAAGTTAATGGCCCCAACATTTGTCCATGAAGTAAAATTCAGTGACTTTGTTTGAGCGCTACTACTTTCTATACTGATCCTGCTTACATAACTGGCCAATCAGAGTAAGAATCAAATAGGGAGGCTGCCTGTTAGCAGGGTAAAAAATTGAGCCAAGACAAATACGTGTGTCTTACTTTTCTTTTTCCAAAGTCTTCATAGAACATAAAACAACTCTTTGGTATAAAGTGAAAAAACATATTTTTGTAAAATACAAAGGGGAAATGAAAAAACTCCTTAGTGTTCTGCCTCTTTTATAGATTGTTTCACAAAGTAGAATCGCAACTTGTTAAGTGCACGCACAAAAGCAAGATGCATTTTAAAAAAAAAACACAAAAACTCAAGGGATTTAACACAGCTGCTCGAATCAGTCTAAAACAGGGGAAAGTGCATCTTGGTGGGCATGATCACAAGGAAAACAGGAAGTTCAACTTACATAACAACTTTACTAGCTTTCTTAAGTCTTGAACAGTTGCCTGAAACATACCAAAATTCTTAATGCAAATCATCAAATCAATATTCAAATATAAAACTTTGTTATAAAGATATCCCAGATTTTTAAGCTTTATTAAAATTCCACTAAAATTATATAACACACATCTAAATATTCATTTTCCTATTCCCATCTATAAATAAATTTATTCCATCCACAATAAAAATCATAAAAATATAATCAATTGCTACTATAGTAAATATTATGTGGTTTTATAGTTACTATTATTACTGACTATATTATTCAGTTTATTCAATTTTTAAATTATGCTACCAGTAATATTTCTCAAGGACTTCGAAATGTGGAGAGTCATATAGTTTGTTTAGTCAAAGGACAATATCGGAGAAACCTAAGAGCAACCAGATTTAAATATTAGTCTAACAACTGAGTTACAATCAAGACTTGCTATGTGTCTGTGAGACTTTAAAATTTCATTTCCAATGATATTCCTCTGTATAATTAATTTATTCAAAATGTAAAAGGAAAGCCAATTTAGGTCTTTTTACTCAGGAAAACTTCTACACCAAATTTATCTGGGATACATGAAATAAGATTCTACAAATGCAGATACACTTCCGATTTGAGAAGTGTCAAAATTATAAAGCAGGCATGGCCAGCAGATAAATAACTTTTTTTTCATTTGAAATAGTATCCTCCTGAAAAGTAGAAAGAAGAAATGTGACAGAAATATCCCATAGACACATCTTATGCCAGAGTCCTACTTACCTCATGGGCTAACATCTTATAGAGTTCTTCTCTAGTTACAGAAATCCTTTCTCTGTCTGTACTGTCCACAACAACTATTACAAACTAAAAGAATTACAAAAAAGTCATTAATGATTATGTAATTTTATATATTGTAAAATTTATGAAGTGCTGATTTGATTTACAGGCTATAACTATCAAGAAATTAGAACCTTATGGTATGGTATTATTGGAAAACCAGAGATACCTACTATATATACATCATAAAGCCTAAAGGTCTGATCCATTTCGAATTCAAGTATATTTACTAAATTTTAAGAGAAAAATAGGAGAAAATAGAAGACATACTAACACACTATCAGAATATTCTGCTAATATTTTAACCAATAAAACACATTTGTTTCCTAACTTAATATTTTGAATGCTAACAAGACTATATCCATCTATTTACACTATAAGTCAAGAAAAAATATATTATGGTCATAAACTTAAGTTACTTCTAGACAGTTTTAATTTTATTATATTAATATCAATTTGAAAATCCAAAAGGGAATGGGTTTGGGAGTAAAGTAACATGACAGTTAAAATCAACAAATTGCAAGAACAAATCTATAGCTAAAGCCATGCTCTCTTCCTTATATAAATGGTACCTGCTACTGGCAAGCACAACTCTCTCCTGAACTGGTAAGACTGGTATCAGAAGATGCAATGAAAAACCTGTGAAGGGGCTGTACAGGACTGCACTACACTGCACCTCTTCCTAATGCCATGCCCACCAGAAGGGAAACGGGAGCAGATATAGTCACTTTACGATGGCATGTGTGATGCCTGAGTTAATTCTGCCTGCCTATTATTAACATGCACTATTCATTTTTTAGAACTAGCCTTTCATTTCCAAATAAACCACTGTAATTTTCAGTCTTTTCTATTCTACAGATTTCAGGAACCATAATGATAAGAGAACTACTATTTTACCTCTTCTCTCACTTGAAACCTCACTGATAAGTGGTTTTATTACTGCCAGACTCATTCTATTCCAAGGTACTTTAATAAAGCTATTAATTTTCAAAGTGTTGCCATGAATTTGATACCTGCAGCGTTATATTTAGGAATAGTAACGATATCTACCTTTCTTTCTCCAAAAAGAAAACACACAAAATACATGATCAAATGCATTATGGAGTGTTAGGGGATCAGGTCATTAGAAACACTTAATTGTGTCTAATGACATTATTCACCTTGGTATACATTTGGAATTTTATTAACTTATAATCAGCACTATAAAAGCAACTATCACAGGCTTTCAATTTGCAAGGTCTATACAATGAAGATCTGAAATGTCACTGGTCTGACATTTCCTCTTGGGAAATAAAAACATGGTTTTGTCTAAATTGCTTGAGAACCAAAAGGAAAAAAATTCTTTAATGTGCAATTGTGTTGCATAAAATAAAATACATGGTAAAATTTTGGCCAGGACTGAAACCACCAGATTTTACCTAGTTTTCTTCTACACATAAATAAATAGTAAAAAAGAAATGATATTACAAACTGTGAGATGGAATTCATTAAAAAAACAACTACTTAAGTTCTGGGATCAATACATAATCAGACTAATCAACTACCAATTCTCCTTACAGAGGTTCCATGAGAGTGGATATACAAGACAATGACCCTGAAATAGGGAATCAAAGATTCCACAATGTTTAAAATCTACTTCTATTAACATACTGTGATATTTCGAAAAGATTAACTATAAGAGTTCATATCTAGAAGGTGTTTCCCAAGCCTTCTGCTCATGGAAGTTCTAATATATTAAGAAACATCGGGGAGAGGTCAATGGGGGGAGGGGGGGAGGAGTCATATGTAATACTTTAAACAATAAAGAATTTAAATTTTAAAAAAAAGAAAGAAAGAAACATTACCTCTGTGTTAGTATAGTAAGTGTTCCAGGAAGAACGAAGAGATTCTTGGCCACCAATATCCCACATTAGAAATCGTGTATTATTAATCACTATCTCTTCTACATTACTTCCTATTGTAGGGGATGTATGTACAACTTCATTCATAGAACTGAAAAAAAAATAATTTGAAAATGTTACAATTAGCTAGGAAGTTAGATTGTTTGAATATTTTTCAATCAAGGGACCAGTCAGTATGACCTCCTTTTACATATTATACCTAAATGTCCCTTTTCCAGTAGCTCATAAGAGTGAGCTAAGGGTTTAACCCTTTGCGGTCCAATTTTATTTTTGGAATTCAAACAGTCTGGTCCAAATTAATTGACGGGATTGAAGGTTGAACCAGTTTGCAGTGTCGACCTCAGCCTCGACATTGGACCTGCTCCTAGCGCCTGGTCTGTCGAGTCAGCCACGACTTTGGACCGAAAAGGGTTAAAAAAAGGGTTAAACAGAGGGGGAACTAGGTAGTGGACTATCTGAGATACTCTAAATTCAATTCTAGGAAACTACATAAACACATATTTCTTTACTTTCTAAAAGCAAAACAACCAATGTCATAAAAGTATCAACTCTTTAGAGTAGGGGTGGGGAGCGTCTGGCCCGCAGGTCCTATAAGGCCCATGAAATCATTTGCTCTTGCCCTGCCAAGGCATTAGGATGAGTTAATTATTGACCAAATACAGCAGGCCAATCTTTAAGTTGAAAATTTTATACACACCTCAAATGATGTTATAAATATCCAAATGGCCCCTGACAGAAAAACGGTTCCCCACCCCTGCTCTAGAATAACTTAAATTCCATGTAACTTTTATTGCTTTCATTAATCAAATATCACTTAGGCAGAAAAAGCAACTATCCTATATAATAAACTAGAGGCCCAATGCACAAAATTCGTTCATGGGGGGGATGGGGGGTGTCCTTCAGCCCAGCCTGTGCCCTCTCTCGCAATCTGGGACCCCTTGCTCCTAACCGCCTGCCTGCTTGCTCCTAACCACCCGCCTGCTTGCTCTTTACCGCTTGGCTCGCCACTCCTTAGCGCTGCCGTGAAGGCAGGAGGCTCCTGCCTCCGCCGCTGCGCTCGCCAGCCGTGAGCCTAGCTTCTGGCTGAGCGGCGCTCCCACTGTGGGAGTGTACTGACCACCAGGGGGCAGCTCCTGCATTAAGCGTCTGCCCCTGGTGGTCAGTGTGCGTCATAGTGACTCATCGTTCTGGTAGTTCCACCATAATGGTCGCTGGGCTTTTATTATATAGTAGGCTAATATGCAAATTGTCCCTTTGGGAGGTTGACCAACCAGGAGTTCGACCACTCGCTATGATGTGCACTGACCACCAGGGGGTGGTGCGGAACAAAGGAAGGCCCTGGCCAGCAGCCAACAGCCAGGGGAAGGAAGGCCCCAATTGGCCCTGATCGCAGGCCAGGCCTAAGGACCCTACCCATGCATGAATTTCGTGCACCAGGCTTCTAGTAAACAATAAAATAAAAATGTGAAAGTAGTTATTACTTACAATTGATAAAGGATGGTAGTTTTCCCTGCATTATCCAGCCCAACAATGATAACTTTGTGCTCTGAAATAAACAAGACACCAGTGATTTATTAATGAAAAACAAAATTTTTAAATATCCTATTTCATCCATTCTTTCCAGCTATGGTATAACTCAGTGCATGGCACCTTAACCTTTAACTCAAAAGACCAGCAGAAGTGAGCCATTGGTCTCGCCTTCCCCACCACTTCTGTGGAGCAGTCTGAATCTCTTTAGAGGGCATCCCAATAGGACTCCATGATCCAGAAATCTTCCACCTCTTCATCCTGCCTAAACACCTACAAGCCACAATCATTACCAAGTTTACTCCCTCCCAAGACTTGTCTCTATTTGAGTTTTCACAATAAAGCACAAATGGCTGTTTTTGACAGCTTCCTAATTTTAACATATGTCCTGTGGGTCACGGTGAGAATCATAAAATTAAGACATAATTGTGGAATGGGCTCAAAGATAAAGGTACCAACTCAATGGTAAAAAAAAGTCCATTTATTCCCAAAAGTAGGGTTAGATTATTCACACTTTTTAATACAGGCATACCTCAAAATATTGTGGGTTCTGTTCTAGACCACCACAATAAAGTGAATATTGCAATGAAATGACTCAAATAATGTTTTGGTTTTCCAGTGGATATAAAAGTTATGTTTATACTACACTATAGTCTACCAAGTGTACAACAGCATTATGTCTAAAAAACAATGTACATTACAAAATACTATACTGATAAAAATACTAACCATCATCTGAGCCTTCAGTGAGTAGTAATCTTTTTGCTTGCCTTGATTTTGATGGCTGCTGACTGATCAGGGTAGTGGTTGCTAAAGGTTGGGGTGGCTGTGGAAATTTCTTAAAATAAGACAATGAAGTTTGCCACATGGATTGACCCTTTCATGAACAATTTCTTTGTGATATGCGATGCTGCTGGGTAGCATTTTACACAAAGAACTGTCAAAATTGGAGTCAATCCTCTCAAACCCTGCCTTGACTTTATCAACTATGTTTATATAATACTCTAAAATCCTTTGTCATTTCAACATTCTTGACAGCATTTTTACCAGTAGATTCCATCCCCAGAAACCATGGTCTCTGCTCATCCATTCGAAGCAACTCTTCATCCACTAAAGTTTTATCATACAATTGCAGCAATTCAGTCATATCTTCAGGCTAATTCTAATTCTCTAACTATTTCTACCACATCTGCAGTTACTTCTTCCATTGAAGTCTTGAACTCCTCAAAATTATCCTTGAAGGTTGGAATAAACTTCCAAACTCTTGTAAATGTTGATATTTTGACTTCTTCTCATTAATCCTATATAATAAAAGCCTAATATGCAAATTGTCCCCTCAACTGGGAGTTCGACAGTTTGCTATGACGTGCACTGATCACCAGGAGGCGGCATGGAACATGGCGGGCGTTGGTGACGCAGCGCTGGCAGCAGTGGAGGTGCTGCAGACCCTGATGGGCCCCGACAAGAGCTGGACAGAGGCAGGATGGTGGAGCAGGTGAGTGGGCAGCACCAGGCCAAGGCAGGTGCGAGCCACTGGTCGCCAGGCAGGGGCCAATCACCCCGCCACCACCGGGCTCCCAGGCACTGAGGGAGCCGGGCAGGGGCCTGATGCTCCACCAATCCGATTGCAGGGCAATCAGTGGCGCGATCGGGCCCCCATAGGCAGTGACCAGCGGCAGCAGTGGGGGTTGTGGCTGTCACCCTGTTCCCTCAGCACCTGGAAGCCGGGCGGTGGCAGGGCAATCGGGCCCCGCAGGTGGTGACCAATGGCAGCGATGGGGGGCAGGTGGCCGGGAGGGAGTACCCGGCGGCAGCCGGCAGCTGCTAGGGACCCTACCAATGCATGAATTTCATGCACTGAGCCTCTAGTCACAAATGTTCTTAATGGCATCTAAAATGGTGAATCCTTTCCAGAAAGTTTTCAATTTACTTTGCCCAGATGCATCAGAGAAATCACTACCTATGGCACCCCTAACCTAACAAAATGTTTTTTTTTAATCTTTATCTGAAAATATTTTTGCCAACTATTTCTAGAAAGTGGAAAGGAGAGGGAGAGGGAGAGAGAGAGAGAGAAATATCAATGGGAGAGAGACACAACGTTGCCTCCTGCACGCACCCCAACAAGGGCTGGGGAACCTGCATCTGAAGTACATGAATCAAACCCAGGACCCTTTGATCCATGGGCTGATGCTCTAACCACTGTGCAAAACTGGCCGGGTCACAAAATGTATTTCTTTTTTTTTTTTAATTGATTTCAGAGAGGAAGGGAGAGGGAGAGAAACATTAATGAGAGAGAATCATTGATCAGCTGCCTCCTGCACACCCCCAACCAGGGATTGAGCCTGCAACCCAGGCATGTGCCCTGACCAGGAATCAAACCAGGGACCCTTCAGTCCGTAGGCCAATGCTCTATCCACTGGGCCAAACCGGCCAGGGCACAAAATGTATTTCTTAAATAAGGCTTGAAAGTTGAAATTAGCCCTTGATCCATGGGCCACAGAATGAAATTTGTGTTCACAGCCATGAAAACAACATTAATCTGATTGTACACCTCCATCAAAGCTCGTGGGTGACCAGGTGCATTGTCAGTGACCAGTAATATTTTGAAGAAATCTTTTTTTCTAAGCAGTAGGTCTCAACAGTAGGCTTAAAATAGTCAGTAAACCATTGTTTCTAGAGCACATAGAGTAGATTTAGCATAATTCTAATGGCTCTAGGATTTTTGGAATAGTTAAATGAGCATTGGCTTCAACTGAAAGTCACCAGCTACACTAACCCCTAACAAGAGAGTCAGCCTGTCCTCAGAAGCTTTAAAGCCAGGCACTGACTTCTCCTCTCTAGCTATGAAACTCCTGGATGGCATCTTTTTCCAATAAAAGGCTGCCTCATCAATACAATCTGTTATTTGGTGTAGCCACCTTCATTAACTAACCTAATCTTCTTAAAAACATGCTGCAGCTTTGACATTAGCACTTGATGCTTCACCTTGAACTTTTATATAATGGAAACAGCTTCTTTCCTCAAACCTCATGAATTGACATCTGTTAGCTTCAAATTTTTCTTTTATAGCTTCCTCGCCTCTCAGCCTTTAGAGAATTCAAGAGAGTTAGGGCTTTGCTCTGAATTAGGCTTATGGCTTAAGGCAGCAGTTCTCAACCTGTGGGTTGCGACCCTTTTGGCGGTCAAACGACTCTTTCACAGGGGTCGCCTAAGACCATCCTGCATATCAGATATTTACATTATGATTCATAACAATAGCAAAATTAGTTATGAAGTAGCAACGAAAACAATTTTATGGTTGGGGGTCACAACATGAGGAAATGTTTTAGGGCCAGAAGGTTGAAAACCACTGGCTTAAGGGAATGTGGTGGCTGGTTTATGGAAACTACTAAAACTTTTTCCATATCAGCAATAAGTCCATTTCCCTTTCTTACTATTCATGTGTTCACTGAAGTAGCACTTTTAATTTCCTTCAAGTTTCCTTTGTATTCACAATTTGGCTAATCGTTTGGTGCAAGAGGCCTACCTTTTGGCCTACCAAGGCATCCTACGAGCATTCCTCACTAAGCTGAATTTCTAGCTTTTGATTTAAACTGAGAAATGTTCAATCCTTCCTTTCACTTGAACACTTAGAGGCTATTGTAGGATTATTACTAATTTCAATACTGTTACTCAGGGACTAGGGAGGCCAGAGGAAACAGAGATGAGGGAATCGCCAGTTGGTGGAGCAGTCAGAACACACACATTTATTAAGTTTGTTGTCTTATATGGATGGCGCTGTTCACTGTGCCCCAAAATAATGACAACAGTAAGTAATGTCAAAACTCACTGCTCATAGGTCATCATAACAAATATAATAAAAAGTGAAATATTGCGGGAATCACCAAAATGTGACACACAAAGTGAGAAAATGGTGTTGGAAAAATGGCACCAATAGTTATTCGATGCAGGGTTGTCACAAACCTTCTATCTGTAAAAAACACAGAATATGTGAAGCGCAATAAAACGAGGTATGCTTGTACTAAATCAAAGCTTCTTTTGAGCATCCTTAGGCTTTGTCACCGCTCCAGCCTATTCCTCTTATTACCAAGATGGAGCAGCATTCTACGCAAAACATAAATTTGCAGCCAAAAAGCATTATAATGCACTTCAAGACAAATGAACCTAAAATACAATATGCATATTAAGAGATGTTATGGTGGGCAAATATAATAAATTTTTGGCTATTCCAATTCTTTGATGCATATGATTCATTTACAAGTTTATTGCTTAGTATAATTTCTCTTTTAGACTATCTATGCCACAGCACTCTTGCAGTAACTCATATAAGCCAAAACAACTACACACTGTTACAATATTTAGATAGAATTTTGAGTTATCATTTAGGCTTTAGTTTCCTAATCAGTACTTGACTTTTTGTTTTGTTTTGTTTTTCATGAAAATGCTTCTAGTTTCACTTATTTCCTTTTCATATACCCAGGCAGCCTAGAGTTCCATTTATTGCCAGTTTCTAAGAGTCAATATATAGCCATCCAACTACCAGACAGTAAATTAAGAAAAAAGAAGTATTGTCACCCGGAGGCCTTCTATTCTCTGAATCATATCAAAGCCAGAAAACACAAATACTAAGGCAGATAAATTGAGTCATCCTGAGACTTCATTCTCACCTCATACCCAAACTCACTAAGCCCTATTGATTCTATCTCACATTCAGCAAAAAATCCGTTTCTATCCCGTTCACTACAGTTCTCTCTGGCCACTGCACAGTCTGGAATAAAGCATGTGCTTAATACAGTATGAATAAATAAATAAATCTAGAAGCTACAAAGATTAGAAGGGAGCTAACTGATGAAGTCACTATGTATTAAAAATTCCATTTTTAAATCAAAAAGGATCATCAATAAAAAACATTTAAAGATAAACTTGCTATTTACAGCAATGGTAGTAAAGTTTATGGGGGGGCGGACAACATCTCTTTCGCACTAAGAAGCTGCTGAATGAAAAGCAATGATTATGCACTGCAAAAGTAGAGATCCAATCAGAAAACAAATCACATAACAATCTGAAATAGCAAAGTTTAATTTAAAGAAAATAACTATTACAGGGGGTTGGAGTAAAGGATTGGCTAATAAGAAATAACTCTAAAGAATTACAAAAATGACAAATATATGGAGCACTAACTACCCCTAGGGCTGGCCCAGAGTTTCCTCCAATTCCCCAGGACTGAGATGTATACTTTGCTGGAGGGCCTGGCTATGGCTCAATGAATGTCAGAAGTAGCTGTGCAGACTTGCCAATGGATCTTGCTGAAAATCCTCCCCCTCCAGGGTGCTATTCCCTGAGAAGTTATTTGCTGCAGGGTCTCCATTCTGAAATCAACTGAAGTGGGTGCTATGGCAAGCTGCTGGCTGCAGCTGACCACTGTGCAGTGCAAGAACCAGCCACAGGAGGTGCTCACACCACAAAAGCAGGACAGATCCTGCTAAGAGTACCCTTTACCCAGGAAGAAAAACCCTTTTCTCCAGCATATCCACAGAGCAAGCACAAAGGGTGAATTTGGAGCTAATTTTTTTTTTAAATCTTCACCCAAGGATATGCTCTTCATTGATTCTAGTGAGAGAAAGGGAGAGGGAGAGATAGAAACATCAATTGGCTGCCTTCCGTATGTGCCCTGACCGGGGATTGAACCCATAACCTGGGTGAGTGTCCTGCCCGGGGAATGGAACCCTCAACCCTTCAGTGCATATGACGATGCTCCAATCAAGCCACACAGGTCAGGGCTGGAGCTAAATTTTTTAATAATTAGCACAGTCCACCCTGCTGAATGAAAAGGGATTGGCACCAATCCCTTTTTTCCCCTGTTAACTGTTTCCCAGGTAACAAACAAACAAAACAGAAGCAGAGGTGGCTTTCCCAGAACCAGGTTCCGGCAGCACAAGCAACTTCTCCAGAACTCAAAAACAAACAAACAAAACAGAAGCAGAGGTGGCTTTCTCAGAACCAGGCTCCAGCAGCACAAGCAGCTTCTCCAGAACTCATTTACTACGTACTTCTTTTCTAAGAACCAATCGGAAGAATGATACAAAGTTATCAATGGGAAAATTTCACAAATTTTTTTATAGTTCACGTTAGTGTCAGGAAGTTTTTCCCTTTATCTAACATGAATCTTTCTTCTACAAAGAAAGTTTTTTTGTGTTTTTTGAGCACTAACTCGGGCACTGGACATAAAATTCCAGGTCTATCACTTTTAATTGTAGTACCTTAAGCAAACAAGTTACCTAATGTTTCTTTGTCCCTATGAAATGGGG